AAGCGACAATCACTGTCATTTCCTGAGCTTGCTTTCAGTCTGTCCTCTGGCTGAAGAAGGCGTCCCTTCCGTGGGTTCTGTGTTAAAATGGGGACTACCATGCTTGGAACTCTCCACACCCTCCCTCAAGGGGCGTCCTCAGGCCTGTGACGGCAGCCTTTCGGCTGGGCTGTACCACCTGCTATCATGTGTGCACTCTGGGATCATTGAGGCCAAGCAGACAGCTGTCACACTTGGGAGGAGAAATTTCATGAATCAGATTACAAGGTTTCTTAAATTCTTTGAGCGCTCTTGTGCTATTTGGTTTATAGAAACTTATGAGCCCTTATATTAATTTTTTAAAAACCTCAGGAATTTCCAAAAGAAAAAAATTGATTGCCAATGTTTTAAATGTTTTGGGTCTTTTAAGAAAACCATTCCTGTTGAGACAGCAGCTCAAAAGGGAAACAAAGATTTGGGTTAATGACCTTGGTTATTATGTTACAAATAGATGGTCATTATGTTACAACTCAGTGCTTTCTAGTTGAAAATGTTAATACTTGCTATTTAAGTGTAAAAAGAGGAAAATTTCAAACAACTTTTTTTTTTTTTGAGGAAGATTGGCCCTGAGCTAACATCTGTGCCCTTATTCCTCTACTTTATATGTGGGACGCCTACCACAGCATGGCTTGACAAGTGGTGCATAGGTCCTCGTCCAAGATCTGGGATGGTGAACCTTGGGGCCACCCATGCAGAGCATGCAAACTTAACCACTACACCAATGGGCCAGCCCTTTGTTTCCAAAGCAGGTTCGTTTTTGCCTGCTGCCCAGAAAGCCAAACACTGAGACGACAAGATTGCAGCAGAGAGAGGGTTTACTCACAAGGCAGCCATGTGAGGAAGCGAGAGCATGAGCCTTAAATTCCCTTCCTCCATCTCCAATTTAGATATGAGTTTTGACTCTGCCCTCTTCCTTGGTTTTACAGTCTCCATTGTTTCAGGTGAGAACTTCCCACTTGCCCCTGGGAATTCCACATTTACCAACCCTGGGCTCCACTGGAGTGTGTATGTGGGGAAAGACTGAGGACTCCAGAGCCTAAGAGCATTTTATTCCTTCATTATTAATTATTTCTAAGGGGATTAAAGGTGTTATGAGAGAGACAAAGAGGGGGGAGAGGGAGATAAAGAGAGAAGAGAAAGAGAGAGGGAGAGAGAAATTCAGACACAATGATTCCCAAGGAGAAAATAACCATTAAAAGAAAAATAAAAAAGGAGAATTCCTCATAATTAAAGGAAAGCCATTACGGCAGACACTGATAAATCACTAACTTATTCCCAACCTGCTCTTCTCTGATGACCTTCTACTATGGCAGAAAAAGGTAAATGCTTGCCTTCTCAGACTCCCTTGCTGCTAGGAATGGCTGCACAACATAGTTCTGGAATGAGACATAAGCAGAAGTCTGCTAAGAACTTCTGGGAAAATTTTTGCTTTCCTGGCAAAAGGAACAGAAGCAGATAGCATTGTTCCTTTTCCTTCTTGCTTTGGAGACAGACTTGATGTCTGGAGCTGCAGCAGCCATCTTGGAATCAAGACTTTAAAAAACAACAGAAACAGCAAGAGAATCACAAAGATGTCAGCCTTAATGTTCTTGAGCCACTGATCCAACACAGGAATTTCTACCTCCTGACCATTTGTTCTGCAGTTTAAAAAAACAAACAAATAAGTCCTATAGGCTAAGTTGTCTTGCAGCCAGATACCATGCTAGGCACTTTCCTTTAACAACCCACTTTACAGGTGAGAAACCTGAGGGTCAGAGAACCCTACTAGTTGTGTTGGAATGTGAGCCCAGAATTGTCTGAGTCCAAAGCCTAGAGTGTTTCTACTATACTAAGCTGTTTAGATTCTCTTGTTTCCTAGCTAATCACTCAACTTAGAAATACCCCAAGTTCACTGGGAACATACAGGCTATCTTCCCAGGTCAAAGTCACCAGAGGGCCCAGCCCCAGTTACTACCCACTTCCTGCTGGTGGCCTCCTACTCATGGGCTTCACCATGCAGAGGCTTCAGCCCATCTGGCCACAAACCTGGGTGAGCCTTCATGCAAGGAGCCCTGCTCTCCCCCAGCCTTGGGGGCGCACTGACAGAGCCCCAGAGGCCAGGCAACTGTGCCTCATTGGGAACAGGAGCCATTCTTTCCTTCACAGAGTTCCTCATGGATGGGGCCTCTGGCTCTTTCCAGAGCTCAGTGGAATCTGTAGAAAAGTCTGCAGCTGGAACATCTTCACCCTGCTGGCCTGAATCAGGAAGAAGAAAACTGCTGTGACTCAGAGCAGAGGCCAGAGCAGGGCTGCCACTGCAACGGGAAAAGACCTCATTGCAGAGATTTCTGCTTTACAACTACAACTATATGGGCACCCACGATGGCCTCGTGGCTGACAGTTGCTGCCTCTGCCAGGTAAAGAAGCACAGGGAAAGGCAAAAAGCAGCTTTGCTAGTTCCAAAACAGTGCCGACTCAGAGAACCTCCTCGCTGCTGGTACTCTTCCAGCCTCGCCGTGGCACAAATGCTACCACAGCTGACCCACACTTCTCTCTCACAAGAAGGGCAAACTTGAGGCCACAAGGTGACAAAAGCAGCTCAGAAACAAAAGGACTGTCTTTGCCACAGTCAGAGTGCCTTTCCTAAAGCAGAGCCCTCCTCTGGGTCCAGTGTGAGTTTTCACAGTTCTATGTCACATGAAAGAGTGACAACGATCTCTATTCCTGACTTAATTGTGGCATTATACCCCACATTCACTGTGAGCATGGCTTCGGTTCCTGATAAAAACTAAAGACTATATCACACCGAAAACCATCTTCTGTAGTATAACCCTAAAAGAAACATTTTTGAGGGATTAAAATATATCAGGAAAAAGAGTCAAACATTTATTTGGCAGTTGCAACACTAAGCTTGCTTGCTTGCTTTATTCATTCATTCATTTATTCATTCATTTGAGGAAGATTAGCCCTGAGCTAACATCTGCCGCCAATCCTCCTCTTTTTGCTGAGGAAGACTGGCCCTGAGCTAACAACCATGCCCATCTTCCTCTACTTTATATGTGGGATGCCTGCCACAGCATGGCTTCATAAGCAGAGCAGAGGTCTGCGTCTGGGATCCAAACCAGTGAACCCCAGGCTGGCAAAGCATAGTACACAAACTTAACCACTATGCCACTGGGCTGGCTCCCTAAGCATTTTTCATGCACTGTCATTTCATTCTCAAAATTACAACCATCCCATTCATTATTCAAATGAGGAAACCAAGACTTAGAGGAGGAAACAGACTAAGGCGATACGGCTAGTCAGGACCTAAATCCATATCTGGAGCTGTCTGGGACCAGTTTGTGTTTTTCCTAGACTGCCTCTAAGAAATAAGAAGAGAAATAAACACCCCAATAATACTCAAAAGAGGTAACTTTGGATAATTAAATGTATAAATTAATCAGCCACTGGACTTCCTCCCCAGATGGGCCATTGTGTAATTATACAGGCCAGAATCATACACAGGCTTTCAGGTTTCGGTGTAAGGCTGGGGGAATCCACTCTGCCCCACCACGTCATCCATTACAGACCATGGTGCATGCTGGCCTTGGGGCCTCTGTGTTACAGGGCCACAGCAGCAGGTGCCAGAAACCTGGAGGACAGTCCCCATCCTGTCTTTTGTTTTGCACACTCCGAGGCTCACTGTGGGAAGCCATGAGATTGCAATTTTAGAAGGCTGGTTAGGCACTCCTGCCAGGACTGTGGTGCTTACGCTGGGGACATGGGGGCAGGGAGTCCACTGGCCTCACAAGACAAACCACCAGAGCACCTATTGTGGATAATTTTGCACGGAAAACCTTTATGTTCCAGTCTCTGTTATAAGCACTGGAAACACAGGCAGAAATAAGAAAAGCAAGGATCCTGCACTTAGGAAGCTTTTAGTGACCACTCGGTGACCCACATGGAGGAGAGACCAGAGAATTCTCCAGAATATTCTGGATTGTGTAAGATGTCCCCACCTGGTATACAACTCTAGGATGGGAAGAGGTATCCCAATAATGGAGATTGCACTTCCCTCAAATTCAGTAGGATGAGGACTTTGGAGCAGATTAAATATGATGTAGAGAAAGGAAAGAAATGTGACTTTTTTAACATCCCATGTTGTAGAGTAAAATTCATACCAATTATATATTCTACGTCATATAACTAAGGTGGCTTTGTTGCTTTTTCTCAGAATAGATATAAAAGACAAGGAGAGTGACTTGTTACCTTATTTCTCTGCAAAATGTGCTAAGGACATCTAATCTCACCATCTCACACTTGCAAGTTTGGTCTAACTATAATTCAAGGTTTGGTATGTACTCTCAGTTTCAGTCACGTCCCCATTGGCTAAGTGAGTAAGAAAGAATAGTATTCTCATAATGACAACTTTTCGGGGTTGTGCCTCGGGTCAGAACATTTCTAGCCTTTTATTAATCTTAGTTTCTCTTTATCCCCAGTCAAATGCTTAATGGAAATCAACATATTAAAATTAGGTCCTGAAGAGCTAAGAGTAAAAGACAAATCACTCAGAGAACAAATAACCTCAGCAATGCTCATGAACCCTCAAAACCAAGACTTTCTTGATTTCTTGATAAGACTTTCTCATGGTTGGATCTTGGAAGAATATCCAACACAAACATTGGAAGAACATCATTATGGCAGCTGTTGTCAGTAGTTTTTTCTTTTTCCTTTCTCAAAATCTTTTCAGGTCTGTTCTTTACAAGCTCAAAGAAATGTATTCCCTTCAGAAAGATCAACTTACACCCAACAGCAAAAGGAATGACATCTATGAGATCCCTACAGCTGGCTCATCCTAAATTCATTCTAATCCTGAGTGAGGCTAAGGGCTGAGACTTGAGTACAATGTTCATCAAGATTCAAGAGACTGGGCCCTCCCAGCAGGACCCCCCCAGCCCCCCCAACAAAAATCTGGAAACGCAAATGAGCTTTCCCCTTACCTGAAAGAATGGCGAACTGTCTGTGAAGTTGTTCAATTATATCCACTGCCACCAAAGGCCTGATTTCCTGCTGCATAATTTCATCTGCACAAATGAAATAGAAATCAGGTTAAATCCTTGCAAATTACAAAGAGAAAGCAAAAGGAAGGAAGGGAAGCGCCACTACTGGAGAAATCGGGGACTTATCAAGACACGGTTATGGGCACTTTATTCTCTTGAGAACTCGATTCCTGAGATGCAGGGAGGATGCGGGTTTTGTGTGGTTTTGATACCGGCCCTGATATCAGTTCCCCTACATTAAAACCAGCATATATGGGGTTAAAACCAAAGCACTCATTCCCTGCTTACTCCCTGGCTTCCTGGCTCCAGAATCTACTATCCACAATGGAGACAAACGGTCAAGGACAAGCACCTGCAAATGCCCTTATCATCCTCCTCTCTGTAAGCAGCCTCCCAAGGCCAAACGCAGGCTGGTGGGAAAGCTCCAGCAAGGCCACAAACTCCCTCCCCTCCCTACAAACAGAGACATTCCTTGCAACCTTCAAAACTCCTGGCCTCCCACCTTTCAGGGAGACGAGACGAATTTGAGGGCTCACTCTTGTCTCCTAGCTGACATCACCCAAAATTAAAACCCTTTCCTTGCCATAAGCCTGGCATTCCAGTTTTTATTTGGCCCCTCTTGTGTGGCGGGTAAAGAACCTATGTTTGTAGCAGGTAACAATCTTAAGCTTATACACACGAGCACAGGAACACATTCTAGAGTCTCTCCCAAGGTTTTGGGGAGGGATCAGTGCAAGGAAGGGGTCCTGAAGTTTCAGCTTCAATAGCTTCACAGTAAACCTGCCAGATGGTCTCATTACCAAGGCAGGTATTTAGGTATCTGCCTACTCCTTTGGGTCTGCAGAAGGACATTTTAAACACAAACAACATAAGTTACCAGAGTTCATGTCAAGCTGGATCATAAAATCAACCTGGCATTTATGAAGGTTCTTCGATTTTTGTTTCCCTCCTCCCCCCTCTTCTTTCCTTTTTGCCTCCCTTCTTTGTCACCTCCATTCCTTTTTTCTTTTCCTTCCAGAATACTTCAAGGGGCCTCTTCGCACTGCCAAGCATGTTTAAGGAGGCACTTCTGCATTTTGCCAATTAAAGATGCTCCTTACTGAGTAAAAGACTATGGGTTTCCAAGGCAAAAATTCAAATCTTTGAAGCACAAACCTACAAATGTCCTCTAACCCTAACAGATGATTTATAAACCCTAAGATTTGCCTTCTACCCATTTGGGGAGAGGGGATTAGAGAGAGGGGGACACTGGGTGGAACCCCTTAGCCTGTGCTGGAAGAGCCTGGGCATTTTCACGCTCTCTCTGCCTAAGATATTATCCTCATTTAACTGTTTTACCAGGAATCTCACAGAAGGAACAGGTTACACTTTCACAGCAAACATCTGGATTAAGGCACAAGCCAAATAGCCTTGTACATTGACGATAAATAGGAATCTCCTATTGATTCTGTATAGAGTTGAGGTAATGTTATGATATTCTGATGTTGACGAAGCAAAAGGTAATATTTGGGAAGCTCCTCCAAGAGCCTTGGTTTCTACTTCCCAGCTTTGGGGTGAAGGTTAAAGGAAGTGATGCGTATGGAGATGTACACAGTAGGTGCTCAGTTAACGCTAGTTATACCCATTGCTCTGGACAGGCCTTTCTCAGATTTGCTTCCTGAGAGTCTTGTCAGGGGTGTGGCAAGTGCCAGCTTAAACCCCAAGACCCTTCTGAATGAATCCTACCACTTTTCCTGGAGGAAAGGGGGTAAACCCACCCCAGCACCTCTTCCACTCTGAATTCACTAAAACTTCAAAGAACTCCTGCATCACTGTCAATTTTGTGGATGCAATGACGGCATTGTAGTTATATTTCACAAAAAGAGAGGGCCTTCTCTGTTAGATACACAAAGTATTTAACAGTAAAATGATATGAAGTCTGAGATCTCCTTAAAAACACTCCAGCACTGGGGCTGGCCCCGTGACTGAGTGGTTAAGTTCACGCGCTCCACTGCAGGCGGCCCAGTGTTTCGTTGGTTCGAATCCTGGGCGCGGACATGGCACTGCTCATCAAACCACGCTGAGGCAGCGTCCCACATGCCACAACTAGAAGGACCCACAACGAAGAATATACAACTATGTACCGGCGGGCTTTGGGGAGAAAAAGGAAAAAAATTTTTTAAAAATCTTAAAAAAAAAAATACTCCAGCACTCCCCTCTGCCAAAAATGTCAGGGAAGGCAGGAGATGAAAGCAAATTGACAAAACGTGGATGATTGTTGAAGCTGGTTTATGGGTCCATGGGAGCTCATTATACAATTCTATTGCATATATTTCAAATTTTCCATAATAAACTGTAAATTACAAGTGGACAACAATATAGAGAATTTCAGCAGAAACAGAATTCATGTAATTGAAGAGTTTTTCAGAACACAATCTCCCAGTGGTCTGGGAAAGAGGCATACTCAAAAACAGAGCAGCATTATTATTTTTTCATTCCTGAGGGGGCATATTAAAAAGACAATGACTCCAGAGAAAAACCAAGATCATAAGATGCAATTTATTATTATTGTATCTCATTATTTGAGGTGTGCTTTGAATTAAACATTTTAAATTAGTAAAGAGGTAAGAGCTGAAAGGGACAACAGAAATGAGTTAAGCCAACCATCTCTCTGCCCTGTCTTTTTCTAAATGAAGAAGTGAAGACCCAGAGAGATTCCGACAGTTTAAGTGTGGAGCCTGGGTCAGGCCCGGATCACCTGATCTAAGAGGGGAAAGCTCAGCCATACGTGATGGAGTTCGCAGACCCTCAGCCTTGAGGAGCAGCGGCATCTACCACCCCTCAGAGGCTGACTAGTGTCTCTCATCATGAGAATCTGTTTGCCCAGCCTTCCAACAGAGATCTTTCTTACCTACCTCCTATGGTTACCAAATGAACAGAAATAAAATTTATGATTTGATTTTTCTAGAATTAGAATAAGCTGGTCTGCCTGTGGTCCAGGTTTTGCTGAGAGAGCTTGGTCCCCAGCCAGAGACTGACGTGGTAATCCTTGAAGTCCTCCCAGCAGAGGAGTCACGTGACCCATCCTGGTCCAGATGCAACAGATCATGAGAGTTTCTCGGACTCAGCGTTTACCGAGAGCATGGAAAGGACCTCAGATACTCTCAGCTTTTAGTGATGCCTGACGCTGTGGGTCTGTTGGGATAGGGCATGCTCAGTTCAGCCCCAACATTCATACTCAGTACCAGAAGAGACACAAAGACCAGCCCTGCTGCTGGCAGCCCCTGCTACCCACTCCTCTGTAGATGGAGTGGGGAGGGAGTGCAGTGGGAAAGAGCCTGCCTCCGATCCAGACAGCCCTGCAAGTGAAGTGCCATTTCTGCCAACTTCCAGCTGGGTGACCGGGGCACCACTCTGGGCCTCAGTGTCCTCACTTGTTTCCTTCTCCAGGAACAGCTGGGCATAACCCATGACAACCCATCAAGGTGGTGGTGCCTGCTGTACTCTGCCTGGCCCCCCGGTCCTGTTGCTATTTTTGCTGCTTGCTATTTTTGATGTGTATGGATTAGGGAAAAACTTTCTCTTTGTCACCTACACAAGGCAAAAGGAAGTGATAATTCAATTTCAACACAATGTCTATCCTGGACAAAGTTACAAATAGATTAGGGGAAAATTCATCCCTTTTCTAGCCCTGAGAAGTATACAGATGTGTGATTGTCTGTTACCCCAGACCCACAGTTCCAGAAATGCAGAAGGCGTCAAAGGCCACAACACAGCCTTCTAGGTGATGGATTAACAGCCCAGTACATCCTATGGGAATTCAGCTGTAGGCAGCAAGCAACACCTCTGCGTTGTCCACTCTCCAGTCTGAGAGCGCAGGGCGAGTGCTGGGGCAGACCTACCGCTCGCAGTCATCCTCCTCAGAGCAGAGGGCAGGAAGCAGCTGATAACAGCTGGCTGCTGTCTGAGTGTTGCAACTGCTAAGGAATAAAGAGCAGTGAAACGCTTAGCCCCCGGCTCTTGCTCTTCTGAAATTTTGCTCACACTGGAATTTAAAAGACTCAAGTATCATCTGAGAAAAAAAGAACCAAATTATAAAATCAATACATTGGTTAAGGAAAAAAGAGCATGGTCTGGACCAGAGAGGGAAGGCAGCCCCAAGTTTGACAGACCCTGCAGCATTACTACTCTACCCACTACCCAGAGAATCTGCTGGGCATAAAGAACGGAAGGGTCTGCCAGTTAGCCAAAGTACGAATGGGACCGGGATCGCCACTCAGCCACAGTACAGCATGCCTCTCTGTTAATAACACTGAGGAGAGCTGTGGGCAAGCACTAACAAGGCACTTTACAGATTAACTCATGTACTTATGTAGATAATGACAGTAAAGGAACGCACCTAGCACTAAAAGGAACCACCTCCAGCCCACCCCGCTCTCCCACCCCCACAACTAGACCACATTTGACTGCTGAGAAAAACCACCTGTGACCAGAGGCTCTGAGAAATTAGTTGTAGGGCTGGTAGAAAAAGCCACTCGATGGGGTCATGCTGTGTTTCACTTCTCTTTCGTACTGGCCAAATCAGAAATAACACAAACCCACTTTCCCTTCTTCTACTGGGTCCTGTCCTACAGTGATGCTTGATCTGAACCATAAGACGTAATATTGAAGTCTTGTCCATAAATTGACAATGAATAAAAGGCATTTGAAAAGCAGACAGAAGAAGTTTTTAAAGGAGAAATTTAGACGATTTTTTTAAATCAAGAAAACTGAAAAATGTACAACTTCCTAGTAGTCAAATAAGGCTATTAAAACAGCAATAGACTATCCCATTTCATATAGAAAATAACAGATTCTAACACACAATGCTGGGGTTATGTTGGAAAACTAATACTTCTGCAGAACCTCAGGGAGCGAAGCTGGTAGCATCCTTTTAGAAAAGTAGTTTCACAATATTTTACCCAGTGATTATTGTGTAGGTTGCATACCAAACCCTTCATACATGTACATCATCTCATTTAATCCTCAAGACAACTCTAAGGGAG